GAGGAGCAGGCAGCTTTCACCGCTAAACCAGTTTGCTGCTAAACTGGTATCAAAATACACCGTATTTGTAAATGGTGTGAATTAATGCGCGCCGGTTTGCTCACGGCACAGGGGAAATTAGAAACAGGGACCTCAGCAAATTCCAGGGGCCTGCTAAAAATTAGTAAACGCTTAAATTCTCTCCTTACTGGGCCACTAATAAAAAAAGCGAGGGAATGTAAAATAAGAAATCCCTTTTAAGACAGCCTGCTATAGCAAACCGTCCGCGCGGGGAGCAGAACTCTGCTCCCAGCCACACAGCTGTAAACCTGGCCTCATTCCATTAAAACCGGAGCACTTGATTCCCATTTCCAGCAGCATCTGACCGATCTCTGCCTTATTTTTGTCTGGGGAGAAAAGTCGCACATCTGCTGCGCGAGGGAGAGCGCGGGCAGGGAGCGCGGGCTCTGCACCGCTCCGGCGCGCTCGGGCAGCGCGCGGAGGTGCGCGGTGGGCACAGCCGCTTCCACCAGCGCGCTCTACAAGTTTCCGGTCCATACCTCCCACTGCTACTTTATTTACTGCAGCTGGCCAGCCTTTTATAGCCTGTTTCATGTATTAAAATTCAAATGTGGAAAACATTACCAGTATCCTCCTTGATTTTTTTTTTCTTTTTTTTTTTTTTTTGGAATTTTTTCCCCCCCGCTTTTTGTGTGTGGGTTTTTTTTTTAGTTTTTTTTTTTTTTTTTTTTTTTTTTTTGGAATTTTTTCCCCCCTTCAACTTCCTTTTCAGCGTGGAATGTATCAAATGGTCAAAGGCTAACTTCAGACTGACTCTACTCAAAAACTATTTCCTTTGTTCTTATGTTTTTACTTCAAAATTCATACCAGTTTTCCAAAAGAAATTATCGGGCCCGACTCCTTCACCCAAGTTACGGTTTCAGACAGTGAGTAATGCTGCTTGGGAACGCGGCAGACTCCGGGTTTGCAGAGAAATGTCCCCGTCTTGTTTGCAGCAGCAGCGCTGTTCCCAAAGCATCCGAATTCTCCTGCTCAGTTACCTTGCTCTGACCATCTACTTCTTTAGCAAAGTCCAAACAAAACCGGTCAGACCCCATCACTCGGCGTTTCTCCTGAAAAAGCAAGTGCCTTCATATTCCTAAAACTATTAAGGCATTTTTTAGATGCGTGATACCGGCACTTCCATTTCTCATTGTTGCTGCTTTTTTTGTTTAAATCTAACTTCACCTACATCTGGTATTTAAGCGAGGAGCACATATTTATGGAACAAACTGTCTCTGAAGTGATGCCCTGGGTGCATGTTGCATCAGTTTAACATATGCAAAGCGAACAAAGCTACAAAAATTAAACTCTTTTCTCTTGATTGAGAGCAGATATGCAGAAACAGTTGTAAGTCACAGATCTGGCTTTTAATAAAGCCAGATTTCTTCATTAAAAGCAGTATTGTTTAAACACTGGAGGAAAAAATAGCTTTGTACAAACTAAAATCTTAGATTATATGTATCCCAAGTGTATTTAACATATTACCTGAGGCCAAGCTAAATTACAATCTAGAATTTCCTTTTGTGAATTCTCAGCAACTGCCACAGAGAGCAAAACAATGTCTGGTTCATGCTAATTTTATTAGGGAAGGGGAGAGGAGATGGATTTAACTGAGCTGCTGAAAAAGCATCTTTTTACCTCTCGGAGCCTTTCGCCAGACCATTTTCAGTTAACACTTCACATTTTTTTGAATCTGCAAATGGCGCAGTCTCAGTTGTGGCTTTTAATGATATTTTACCCACGACAGAGTCACTTCTAGTAACATTTAATTTAACGAGGAGCAGAGCCTGTCACAAAGCTGCCCCAATAAAAAAAATAAACAACCCCCCCTTATTTTCCTTTCTCAGGTGCTTCGTTTCAACAACCGATGTTACATTTCAATAACCTGAAGCAACAGAAACTATGGGCAAATATTTAGCTTAGGGCATTGTAGGTGGACAAGTCTGAAGGGGAGAACTGTTTGGTCAAGGATAGCTGGGTAAGGATACCTGAAAAGCAAACTTTTTCTTGCAGGGGGGAAGCAGGAGACAGCTGGGATATTTTAATTTCCGTACGAGATGGCAGACCTCAGTTGTGAAGGCTCTGGATGGTGGTCAGCACTCAAGCTTAGACACAAAACCTTGCCCTTGGCCGGAGATGGAGCGTGCCGAGGGCTGTGGAGCCGTCCCCAGCGTGGGACGGAGAGCGGCCGAAAGCCCTCTGCTCTGCTCGGCTCGGCCCCGCTGGCTGGAGCAACGCCAGCCAGGCTGGAGGAGCCGCCTGAGAACTTCCCCCAGCATCGCACGAGGGCTCAGGAACGGCCCTGCTGAATAAAGCCGTGCTCTCAATACCGCTGGAGGCTAATTATTTTATAATCACCTAACCGACTATCACGACAGAGCCTAGCGCGGGGGCATCCCCGGCGCGCAGCAGACCGGGGGACACGGTAATTATCAAATAATTGGCCACCAGAAGAAGCTCCTTCCTTTCCCTAGCAGTTGCCTCACACTCAGGCATCAAAGTTTTTCTTTCTTTTTTTTTTTCCTTCCCTTGTGAAAAAAAGGAGGAATCCTGTCTGAATCCTGTCAAATAAAACTCTAAATGTTTGCATTTTCCATATGATGTCTAATCCTATTTGGAATGCTTCTGAACATTTGGCCTTGATTACATCTTAGAGCAATGAATTTCACAGGTCATTGTGTGTTGAATAAAAAGTATTTCTTTTTGTCAGGTTCACTGAATGTTCCCTTGTTCTTTAATTATAAGGCAGGATGAATAGGAGAGCTAGATTTACCTTCTCTATGCTGTCCATTATTCTATGTACCTCTATTATGTCTCCTCCTATTCAGCTCCTTTCTAAACAAAATCACCACAATCTGTTCAACCTCCCTTCACATGAAAATCCTTCCATGCTTGCAATCATTCCTGCTGTTTGTCCCCGAACTCCTCCTAATTCCACTACACTTTTTGGAGATAGGAAAACCAAAACAGAAGACAGCTCCAGGGAAGGTATACACACATGTATGTATATGTAAATATACACCCAAAGCATATACCCCCAGTCCATCAGTTTTGGTGTCCCTTCTCATGTGCCTTTTCAATTCAATGGGTTTTTGGTCTTGTTGTTAGGGATTCTTGCACGCTGAGGAGAAATTTCCATGCGACTCTAGCAGAGGCATATGAAATTATGAATTAATTAATTGAAATTCTTTCTTCTAATCTGCCCTGCCTTGCCCTTAGCATGAGGGATGAGCAGGGGATCAAGCCTAGTCCTCCACAGCGCCACGCAGCAGTGAACTGGCCATGGATCTGTCAGGTCCCTTTCTCCTCCCACATATTTTCCCCTAGTCTTAATTAACCTAAATAGCTTGAACCATCTGAAAATACTGCCAGATAACTCCTTGTTCCTCTCCTCCATTCCACGTGTGAGTAAGCAACTCTATTTCTGGAATGAAATTTGGAAGTATAAAACCGAGTGCCTTTTAATCCTGTTGAAGATTGCGCTGATCTAGTTCAGCTCTGCACGTGCACAACTTTGCTGCTTCCTAATCGAGAATTGCTGTTTCTCAGCTCCTACAGGACCGTTATTTTTTTCATTAACTTCTGCTGAGGGACTTTAAGATTTCTGTAGACTCAAATGCATCGTGTTAAATGGTTTTCCTTATTATTTTTCTGACATATTAAAAAAGAAAAAGATTGAAGAGACATGCTTTTCCTTTACAAGAGGAAAATATTGCAACTGCAAAATATTTCCTTTGCAAAGTGCAAGACATCTGTCCTGGAGACCCAAGTGGTGCATATAAGGCAAATTACAGACCTGATCCCACAGACTTTTGTGACACACCACTTACCCAGGCAGCAGCGACAGACTGGGGACTCAGTACACAAGCACAAGCTCACGAGCCCAAGGAGGGTCTGCAGAGCCAGGCTTCTCTGCACCAGCTATTTCACGTTGCAGAAGGGTCACGTAATCCAGAGTGAAACACACGCCACAGTGAGCACATGCAGCTCCAACTCTGAACTACCTTCTCCCCCCAAATTTAAGCACGTGTTTAAAGCAAGGACAGGATTAGCTCTCATTCCTTAAACCTTCTCCAGCCCTGCACGCCAAAACCACACCTTACACTAAAAACTGCACCCAGTTTCCCAAGCAAGTGGTGGGTCCTGAGTGAAACGCAACACTAAAAATCTTTTTGAAAGCAAAAAAGGAAAAGCATTTCAGGACCTGGGTAGGGGCAGTGACTTTATGTTCACCTGGCCTTGAAATGAAAGCATAAATGAATCCCCGAAGATTTCACACCCCCTCATGCCCCCCGGCATGCATGCACGCACACAATCTGCACCTCTGTGCACGTGGCTATGAGAAGAAGGGTAAACTGGGGCTGTGCAGGTGGCCCCTGAAGTGCGACCACGCAAACCACCCCTGGAAAGGCACAGGAGAGCCCGACCTCGCTGCTGCTCTCGCTGGTATGTGCCTGCCTCACTGCCATGGGGCAGCTCTCCCCGGCACGCTCCTGCCTGCTGCCATGGGGCTGCTGTTCCCCATACACCCATCACGGTGCCTGTCAGTGACTTCTTGGTGCACCCGTGCCCCCAGCCAACCCAAGCTACGTCAGCAGGGACGGTTAACGAGGCTGGACGCAGAGCCGAGCAGCTTGGTACCAGTGCCAAGAGTCGTGCCAGCTGGGCTGAGGGCACAGGCAGGGACAAACAGAAATGGGTGCACTCGCCGCCATCAGGGTGAAACGCGCATGCACATGTTTGTAGCTGTACAATAGCTCACACACACACACTGCGTAAAGGAAAGGCAGTATCACTCCCTCCACGAATACGCACGCACACATTAGTATATAACACCTCTGAGAAGCAGCAAACCCTTGCAGACCCTTACACCCATCCACCCCTCCCTTCCCCGTCCTCAAGCCCTTGAAGTCAGTTAGTTTTTCCCCCCAGCGCTGCCGGTGAGTCCCGCGGCTTACCATGAGCGAGTGCCGGTTGGCGGAGAGCAGGCCGGTGCCGTAGCCGGACCCCAGACCGGCCATGGCTCCGTTGTGCGACGGCCCTATCAAGCCGTGCATGTCGGCGTGGCCCCCTGGCATGGCGGTGGCGGGCCCCACCGCGTGGTTGCGCAGCACGTGGATGGCGTCATCCAGTCTCTCCAGGCGGTCCTCGATCCGGCTTTGCTGTTTGTGTGCGAGAAACAAAGCGGGAAGAGCATCAGCAGGCGCGCAGGGCCGCCCAGCGCCGGGCACGAGGCGCTGCCGCCGGGGTGCGTGGGGC